CTTTCCCGAGCTCATTGACGTCAAGCGGTAGCTAAAAATCGGNCAGCACAGCACAGCACACTGCTGCCACAGTGCTGCCTTTTCCCTTCCCTTTCCCGAGCTCATTGACGTCAAGCGGTAGCTAAAAATCGGCTCCGCTTTCTCACTGTACGAGAGAAAAAAGAGAAAGAGAAAGAGAATAAGAGAGAGAGAGAGTATAAGTGTGTGGGGTACCCAAATCAAACCGGCAATCGGCGGCTACAGCAGAAGAGAAGAGAGGAGAAAATGAGAGAATGAGAGAAAGTGAATTCTCAGAGAGAGGGGAAATTCTGTGTGCCGGTGGGCGCCCAGCTGAAGAGACAGCAGCAGCAGCACACACAGCCGCCCGCAAATGTCGCAAGGCAAATTCGATTGCAGCCTGTTCTGTGACGAGGGCCGCTGCTGCTGCTCTCCATCTGGGCTCACAATTTGATTTGACATTTTATTGGCTGTTCGCGGGCGCTAGACCTTTTGGTCTACCACCCGTTTGGGCACCAGTTTGGGCGAGCGAGGCAAAGGTAGCGTGATGAGGCAAAAATAGCACGTGAGTCGCACGAGGAGCACACGGCACAGCACAGCAGAGCAAAGAGAGGGAAAGTGGAAAATAGACAACAGAAAAGGCAACTGTGCACTCATCAGCGGCTGAAAAGGGTAAAGGTAAAGTTCGTGAACTGGGCTGATTAATTACCTGGCTAACTGACTGGTACCCTTGAAATCCACCAAGCACACCTTCCCCAGCATTAGTTTAAATGAAAAGAGAGAGAATTGGCCATGTGCGGAGAGAATCAACAGACACCGGCGAGATGACCCAGTTTAGGTGCAATGAACTGAAGACTGACTGACTCACACTGACAGCCACTTGTACGGCTCTACTTTTTTTCTAATCAAAGTTTTCCCCGCTGTTGATGATGATGATTTCACCTATTCAAAAAAATGTACTACCACTACTACGGTTGACATTTGATCAGAGTAATTACAACTGCCACAAAAGGGTGTTTTCCCTAAAAAGTGCTAATAATAAAAGTTCAACGAAATGATGCTCATCTGCTGCTGATTTGGAGTGCCATCAGCACAGTAACAATCGACATGCAAATAAAATAGGCAAATAAAATAAATAAAAAGGGAAAAAACAACTTACATTATGACAGTAGTTGGAGTGGTGGTGGTGGTGAGGTAATTCGAGTCGTCAAAAGCGGAAACTGCAAATCAGCAACGATGAAAAGTGTTGAGCGAAGAGGATTGTGCGATCAATGCGAGAGACTGATTGATTGAGCGGGACAGTGCAGTGAAAGGAGAGAGAAAGATGAATTGAACTGCGCCGGCAGAGAAGTTCAAGTTCAAGGTGTGCGAGTGAGAGACGGCTGATTCGGCAATGGCTCAGTTCTTTCCCAGGGTGATCAAGTGATTCTGGTGAACACTTACTTCGTCAGCTGACAGCAGCTCTTCAACACTTCCTTCTTCTTCTTAAACACCTTCTTCGTCGGCGTTGATCTACCGTGTGCGGTTCGATCGCCTGCAGACCAGCCCTTTTAGCCTGCTCACCTTCTTGTTCTTCTTCTTCAGCTGCTGCTGCTGTCTGTGTTAATCGAATGTGTCTTCTGCGGCTGTTGTCGTCGTCGAATGGTGAACAGACAGACAGAGGATAGATAGCTGCTGCTGCTGCTTAGCAGTAGTTTGGCGCGCGTATTGTTCACCAGTGCTGCCGCTTCAAATCGTCGGCGTCGGTGCTAGCAGGCTGTACAGAGACAGACCAATCCACCAAGTGGTCGCCACACTAGGAAGAAGCAGTCTCTCACTGTAGTGTGTGTCGTAGGCTTCGCAGAACAGCAGAGAGAGAATGAGAGAGAGAGAGAGAGAGAGAGAGAGTGAAAGTGAAGGGAACGCAGAGGACTCCCACGCACAGACTCACACTTCGGCGAAACAGCAGTGTGTCACCACCACCACGAACAGGAGAGAGTCGGCACTTGCTGCTGCTGCTGCTGTGCTTCAGATGGTAGCAGTCAGCGTTTTCAGGTTGTTGTAGTGGTGGTGGTAGTGGAGAAGGAGGCTGTGACGGTAGTGTGATGGTACTTCGCTGTCCCTTTCGGTTTGCCAGTTATTCACTACTGCTCGCTGCTCTGCCGTCAGAAGGAGGTAAAATGCTGGTGCTGGTACAGATGATGATGATGACGGTGGGTAATATCCCGGTGCTATTCCTTGTCAGCGTTTGGGCAGAATGATGAAGTGGTGCTGGTGCTAAAATATTAATACAGAGAAAAAAAGAAGATTAAGTGAAAATGTTCGAATTTAAACGCTGCTTCTGCTGACGACGTAACAAGTGTGCGGCGATGTGCCCCACTCTGGGGCCGCTTTTATATGCTAGGGACCCGCTAGGGATGGCGATGCCGAATAAGATGCAGCAGCAACAGTAAAAGTAGGTAGGCAAAGCAGGTAGGTGGGTCAAGTGAGGGAGGTCGAAATGAGAGAGAGAGGGAAAGTGCCACTTTCTCCCACTTTCGCTCTCCAAGAGGGTGCGCGTAAGGCAGCAGCAGCCTCAGTAGCTAGGCCCCGTTTCTTTGGAACCGTTCTCCTTAGCAGTGCCCCCGCTCTCTCTCCCTCTCCTCCTCCGTTCCCGTCCGGTCCCCACACTGTCCCGCACCTCTCGGGCCTCCGTGCATCAGTAGCACAGCACAGCACACACAGTAGTGCCTGCTTTTTTCCGTCACCCTCATCCCGCGGGCCCTAGCGTCTTAGCAGTAAGAAGGGAGACAAACATTACACACACCGTTGGGCTATTGTGTAACAGCAGCAGCAGCAATCTATCCCCTGAGCAAGGAATCGAGGGGTCGGGTATTGTCTGAGAGTGTGCAGGGCCTCTCTGCTACCTTTAAAAAACTAAAGCGATGCGTGGGAACCTGACTACCTGGCTGCGACAGAGCTCCACATGCCTGAGCATCGTCCCGTATGGATCTGATCAGCCATTGTCTGCCCCGCCACCCTAGACTCAGCATTTGTGGCCTATTGATTCGGCGGTCCCCTCACCTCATCATCCTCATCACCATCACCACCGCCAACATCATCATCTCGGGACAGGATGTGCTAGGGCGGCGGTGGTGGCGAAGGAGACCGTAATAGAAACGTAGAAATAGAAACGTAGAAATGGAAAGCAGTGAGAGTGAAGTGTGAGTAATGTGAGGGAGAGGGAGATGGAGAGAGCAAAGTGCCACCGCCGCCGTCTACCTGCCTCGCACACTGCACCGACCGGCCGGACGCAAACAAGGTCACCGGGTAACACACACAGTCAGAGTCACCGTGCTCTACTTGTTCTTTCAGTGTCTTCGGCTGCTACCGTCACACGCATCCACAGTAGTCTGTGTTTGTGCTCAAACAACAGGCCCTAGGCCCCTCAGACCTCAGACAGCGTCTTATTCTGTGTGGGGATGTGTGCGTGTGTGTGTGGCCATGGCACGGTAAATTCCCGCTAGGCCGTCGCGACGCTGACAGACGCGTTCTCACAGACTCAATAGCTGCTGAAGAAAAGTGAAATGTGAAAGACGGCACGGAAAAGTAGAAATCTGGCACAAATTACGCGATGCGGCCCAAGGAGGAAATGTGTCAGTGTGCTGAGCTTTCTGGGAGAGGCTGATGCTTGGGCTACTTTCTCCCACTTTTCACTCTCACTTCAGGTAGCTGCTGCTGCTGCTGTTGTCGCTGTTAATAGTGCGAGGTGTGATTTGCCAATTTGCTGCTGCTGCTGACGGGTCTGCTGATGCTGAGGGGGTAGTTACTGGTTGGATGCATTGGAACAAAATTAGAAGAGGAACACACCAAACCTAGATCTTCAAAAAAGAACAAAAAGATGGATGGAACGCGCCCAGCAATTCAAAAACAAACACAGTCTAAAACAGAGACAGGACAAAAGACGGTAGTGCACAAAATGGGACATCATTGGGGCCTACCTAAAAGTGTGCCACTAAAGCAGCAGCAGCATCCGCTGCCCTTAACAAAACGACACGTTTAGCCTAAAAACTAGGTCTAATCAATCGATGATGCTAAGGTGCCGCTAAGTTCGAGCTATTATTGGGGGCTTTTTATTCGAAATGTACACACCCACATTCCCAAAGTGCTGAACTTACTTGTTAGGGAGAGGGAGGAGAAGGAGGAGAAAGAGGACAATGCGAAATCAGCGGTGAACTCCAATCTCCGGCTACCGTCGGGCAAAGTTTCGGTCCATCAGCCCCGGTCCCCGCTGAGAGGTGAACTTCTTCTGGCGAATGGAGTCCTCGATGGAGCTGCTGCCCGCAATGTCCGACAGCAGTGGCTTGATGAAGGAGGCGGATTTGCCGCCATTTTGCTGTCTCTCCATCTGCCGGCGGTCTTCTTCCTCCTCGCGGGCGGTCAGCTTCTTCACCGTTTCGGCGCGTTCCTGTTCACGCCACTCGGCGTTGGACTTCATCTCCTCGCGTCGCTTTCGAATCTCCTCTTCGGTGAGCCGAGGCCTGGTCGGCTTCTTCGATCGCAGGTCCGCCGCTGCAGCAGGAGGTCGTTCGTAAGGCTTTTTAGCTGGCGGCCTCTTGTCTGGAGCTGCTGACGAAGAATGTGATGAGTGTTCTCGATTTCTGCTGCTGCTGCTTTCGCTTTGGTGTCGGCGATGATCATATGAGGATGATGAAGAGGAGTGTGAATGGAAAACGTGTGATTCTTTGCTGTGTGTCGATGTCTTTCTCGCCGGCTCATCGTCGTATCTGCGCCTATCAGAGCGACTGTCACCACGATGACGTCTGTCAGGAGACCGCGAACGACGTTCAGCGATTCTTTTTCGCTTCCTCCTCTCCTCCTTTTCATCCTCGCTTTCATCGCTGGAACTTTCACTTTCACTGCTGTCTGAACTGCTGTCTGATGAAGCTCGTTTGCGGCTCTTTTTCGAGTGCGACGACTTTCCGCTTCGGCTTTCCTTGTCCCTTTGCTTGTGCTTCTTTTTTGTCTTCTTATCCTTCTTCTTCTTACTCTTTTTGTGCTTTTTGTCCTCCTTCAGNGTCTGAACTGCTGTCTGATGAAGCTCGTTTGCGGCTCTTTTTCGAGTGCGACGACTTTCCGCTTCGGCTTTCCTTGTCCTTTTGCTTGTGCTTCTTTTTTGACTTCTTATCCTTCTTCTTCTTCTTACTCTTGTGCTTTTTGTCCTCCTTCAGCGCCGTCTTCAGCAGCTCCTGAATTGCCTTTAGCTTGACTGGATTCTGCAGTATCTCCTTTCGCTGTTCGTGCTGCTTCATCTGAATGGCAAAGAGCGGGTCTTCGCGCATCTTTGCCGTCAGGTCGTTCACTGAAACGGTGGTGGCCTCCGCCAATGTGCCCGATCCACTGGTCAGCTGGTTGATGGGCGCACTTTCCTCCTCGTCTTTGGCGGCATTTGGATTGCTCGCCCGCTCCATCATCTCAAAGGTCTTGTCGATCTTCCGCCCCGTCAGGTACTCCTCGCGGTCGGCAATGCCGGAGATGCCCTTGTACATCCAGTCCATCTTGTTGGCTGTTGCTTCTGTTTCAAGGCACTTCTTTTCCAAAAAAAGTTCTAAAGGATAAAAAGACTTTTGCGGTAAAGACAAAAAATCAAAACCACCAAAACAGTTTGTTTTGACGAGCGTCTTTTTTTTCGCCGCCGCCGCTGCCGCCGCTACCGATTCGCAGAAGACGTTACGCAGGCAAATCAGCTGCTGCTGCGAAAAGTGAGCGAAAATTGGCAACCGAAGCAGCGGCGGCGGCAGCAGCAGCAGCAGTGGCAAAGTGACACAAACGCGAGCGGCGACAAAGATGTGAATTCAGAGCTGTGGATCCAGCAGACAGCAGCAGACAGAACCCGAAGATAGCAGAGACCAGAGTGCCAAAGACCTCGCCGTCGCCGCCGCCCCCTGCTCAGTGATCACTCCCCTCGTTCCATTTCTCCGGTGGCGCCCAGCTTCTGGGGCTCCANAACCGAAGACGCTCAACCGTTGATGTAATTGCTTGCTCACTTCGCTGGAATGTGACTC